GGGGGGGTATGTTTCTTACAAAGCTGCGTCACGTTGACTAGCCTGCGAACGCTGGGTTGCTTGAGAATTTCCCGCTCTTCGGCAGTCAAGGCCCGTTGCGTGTTGAACCTCTTTGCGGGTGTGGTCGGCCTAGTATCCCGGGGCTGGTAGAAATCGTGGCGGGCAAGGGCGGCATGGGTCAGGGGCGCAGGAGAGTTCGTACCGCCGCCTCCCAGGTGCGAAGCGGGAGGGGTGTTCTCTTGTTCCTGCCGCTTCTTCAGGGGACTGCCGGCCGAGACGGCGGTTCGATTAAGGATGCTGTCTTCCACATTCGGGCTGGACTCGTCTAGTGGTTTCGCGGAGGATTTGCCCGGCGACAGTGGGGTTGTGATAACACTCTGAGGGCGACCTAGCTTGACAGGACTCTCGAGAGTAGAGGCAGCATTGAGTCTGAGTGCGTTTTCGAAGGCCTCGGGAAGTTCGTGAGCGCCAGGAGGAACCGTCTTTTTACTGGGACTGCCTTGCGGGGTGTTGGGAGGGTTGAGGAAGTCATGATTGCTGTATGTGGGAGTCTTGGGGCGGCCGGTAACGTTCTTGTCCTTACTCCCACCGGGAAAGAGGTTGGCCATGAAGCTGGCCATGATTGAGAGCTGCTCTCCCAAACAGCAAACAGCGGGGATCTATGATATGATATGCAACGAGAGGGGGAATATAGAGAACTAAAGTGACAAGTAATTCTAGGAAGGCTGTAGAAAGAACTTTCTGAACACTTGCCTACCTCTGGCGACCTGAGAGAGGATTCCGAAATAAATAGAATCCGATGACGCACGTTCTTGACGGAGAACTAGCGATGAAGGGTGTCTCCGGTTGCCAGACGCCCGGTGGATGCGACGAGAGATATGGCTGATAAGTGGGATGGAGGGAAGTCGAGAAACAACAGCAGGACCACGAAAGTAAAAGGGGTCTAGACGGGAGGCAAGGGGAAGTTAAATGGAGGAGAGCAGGTTCACCCAGAGGCAGCCTGAGCGAGCCCAAGTGGAAGGTGCGCCGTCGCAGGAGACGATTCAGGGTTAAGGTGTTGCCCGCAGTTAAGGAATGCAGGGATGTTATTGGGTGGGGCAAGGCCGAGTCAACAAGCGTTGCATAAGCAACGACACAGGAACGTGATACCAAATACGGGACATTATGTACGAAATAGGTACCTACCTAGGTACCACTTCAGTTTTTGGGCTTCTCTATCACGTGTCTGATCCGATAAGACGAAGCTTCCCGTCCGTCCAGGTTGCCATCGGCCGATAAGGATTTATCGCCATTCTGGCACGGGTAAGGCAGGCAGTCATCCGTCAAGATATCATCAGTTTGAACGGTCTGCTCAACCACGCGACTCCGCAAGCCCTACGAAAGCCATCTCTCGACGTTGTCTCAGCTGAACCCAATTGAGGAAGCTCTTTAAGGCATTTGGAAGAAATGACAAAGGAACGAAACTACAACCCAGTTCAAGCCCAGCGCAAGGCTGACAAGGCCAAAGCCATTAAAAAGGGTAGGGAAATATCTCCGACCTTCGCCGTACTACTTGGCACCAACGGCACCAAACCATTCGACTCTGCTAACTGTAGTTTTTGCCCTCTCTAGGCAAGGCAGAGGTGCAGAACCGTCGCAACGACAAGCTCGCCAGACGTAATCCCGACCGCATCCAGAAGCAGATCGACGATCTTAAAGCTGTTACGACAAATGGCGGCAAGCTCTCACGGCATGAGGAGCAGGTATTAGAGGGCCTCGAGAAGGAGCTTCAGGCGGTGAAGAAGGCGCGGGAGGCTTTGGGCGACCGGGCGCCTTCTTTCGGGAGCGGTCTCGGGCATGGGGGCAGGGGAGGAGGGACCGGCGTGTTGGGCAAGCGGCGACGCGATGCCGAGAACGCGTCCAGCGACGACGAAGATATCCCGGAGGATGTGAGAAGCATACCTATGCCGCGAGACACACCACCTCCGATACCGAAGCAGGTGATGGACGCCTGGTACGCGAAGCGGCGAGCGCGGCGGCAGGCGGAGCTGCAACATCAGACCGAGACTGAGGGCCGAAGGGATCGCTCGGAAGACAGGAACAATAAACCGGCCCCTACCCCGGTGCTGGAGGCGAAGACGGTATACGAAGCGAAGCCCATGGTACGGAATCTGCATAAGGAGGCGGTGTCGGCATTTGTGCCCAGCGTGGTCAGAAGCAAGCTAGACAAGGGCAAAGGGCGAAGTGGGCTTATGGAACCCGAGGAAGCTGATGCATTGGAGAAGGAGGGCTATTTGAAGGGCCGTGATAGGCCACAACAGGACACAGGAGCTTCCGGTTCACACAGAGTCACAGTCGAGGAAGTGGAAGATGAGGCAGGGTGACGAGGAATGATGAGGAACGAGTGGGTGCAACGATGGATGGATGAGCCACAACTTGAAGGGGGAATTCGGATACATGTCCACAAGCCTGGCTGTCATCAAATCTGCTGTACCACAATCCAAGAATGAGTTCTAATCCCCGAGGATGAAGCAGAAAGGGCGCGGAGTTCAGCAGTTCGGCAGTTCAACAGCTTCCAGTGAATCGAGCGACGTTACTGGTGCGCAAAGGTGGCTCTGCCGCCTTTCGAAAGGTGCCGCCCAGTAGCCAGTGCCTGTTGGTCTCACCTACCTACCTATTCTTAACTGTAATTGACTTACCTACCTACCTAAATAAGCTACCTACCTACCTTACCTTTGGGCATACCAACTACCGTGCCTTACCTTATTCGCCTGTAACGATCTCAGGCTTATGATTGGTCCATATGGTATCGGGAGGACCTCCGAGGGGTTACTGCCCTTCTATTGGGTAACGGTGTGACAATATCGTACGATGGTACCGTAGGTGTCATCCAAAGGCGGACACAATGAGGGACAATGAGGGAAGCAGCAAATTCGGAGACCGGAAGTACCTACCTTGATCGAAGGGCGCTGTCTTCGCCCGGATACCTCGTAGTACTCTTTCTCGGTGGGCCCCTTCGTTACCTATCGCCCTTTCACAGTGATGGGAGTCCCAGACAGCCGGGTCCTTCTCTCGTCCCGCCATCATCTCTTTTGAGGAGAGTTGGATCCGTTTCCATCTGCCCAACCCTCTTCTCCTCCTTGCTTATTATTATTTTTATATTCTCCCCCTCCTGTCTTCACCCTTCCCTCCCACTTTACTTTTGTCGTGTTTCTGACCTTGTAGTGCATCCTCTTCTGCGTGGACACCCATACTGTCTCACAACCTCTTCGACCAACCCATCTTCTCTATCGACCGAGGCGCCTGTCCCATGCCTGGTACATTGAGCCCTACCCCCGAAACGCCAGTAGGATGCACATCGCAGCCGGGCATGTGGCCTTGAACTGCCTGCATAATAACGATTCTGACTTCCTACACCGTGGAGTCCTCGACCCTCACCCGCCGTCATCCAAATGACGCCGCTTCCGAGTTGTCATCCACGCATCCAGGGCCAGAGGAAATGCGGGAGGTGACTCCTCCCAGAATCACCAATCCTTTTGGAATGTACTCGTTTGAGAGATATGTCGAGGCAACAACCGCCTAGCTGCTCCAGAGCACCAACCATGCGTGCCTCCATGATGGAGATCTCGAACGACTCGGAATTTCGCGCTCTCTATCTCCTACTGCAGGCCCAAGGCATTTTCCGGGCACATCCCAGTAGAGGTACGTCCTATAGCATGGCAAGAGCTAGGAATCGAGCAGAAAAGGGAGATATTCGGGGAACCCTATAGCCCTGATTCGGTCGAATTTCTTCAGGTCGCCGCCTAAAGGGCCGCGCTTGCTACGACGGTGCTTCCCTGACGGCCTGCAACTATGCCCGCCTGCTCAATACCGGCCTTTGCAGGTGCTCAACTAGTTGGAATGTCCGAAAAATGTTTGATCTTGTGTCATAGCCCGTCTTGGGTTGTCGTTAACCGGCCAATGCTCCTGCTATTGCTACCACGCATCAGCAATTATTGTCACTTACGACTGGCAAGGCGGGTTGTTGCAAATAGAGCAGAAGGAAAGAAAGAAAGAAAAAAAAAAAAGGAAAAAAAAAAAAGGGGGGGGGGGGGGTCCGGCTCCTGGGAGCTTACACTTTCCAGGGTCCAGGGCCCGATTGCAGGTGAGAATTTTGCCCGAAATGAATTCCAATCTCTGCTTTTTTTGTCTGATATGTGCCGGTGCTTGCCATAACTAACTAGATGAAGCCCGTCCAATCCATTATAGCCCTTCCAGTCTACTCTCCAGAGTCCTGGGTAGGGTCAGCAGCGAATTTTGGGCCCTCCGAAGGTCGAGAGGGGTATACAGATCGGACAACCCAGCAGTGCAACGAAGACAAGCTTCGTTCTGTCCCCGAAAAGATCGGAATTGTTGCCACTTCAATAAAGTTGGCCAATCCCTTTCCAGACGGAAAAGAAAAACCTCCTTCTACGCTACCAAGTGGGTTTTTTCTTCTTACGTTGTACACGTGTATTGCGACATCCCAGCCGCAGTGGAAGAGCGATGGGCCTGTTTCGTGCGATCTGGACAATTAGGTGTCTGTTACATCACCATCGGGTACCCAGCCGAAACGAGGAAGATCAAACCAAAAACGATTCCTATCTCCGACTTTTCAGTCGGTGCACAATTGTGTGCACACCCGATGCGGTTTATCTTCAGCAGATCTGGTCCAGAGTCCACCGTGTCGGAGGCGGGCAAGACTCCGACGAGGGTCCAATGCGGGTGGGGTTCCACGCCTCGAAAGCCCCTGTGGTTTGTGGCTTGTGGCAACGGACGGGCCCGTGACGGCAACAAAAGATCTGAGATTTGCGTCACCCGCTTATTCGCGACAACTAGACACAGGCGTTCCAGGCACAGGGAGGGGCGAGGGGCGAACAAATCGAGCCTTGAAACGAGAACTCTGCTTCCTTGCTAGGGAAGGGTATATACGTGCGAGAGGCGGCAACGTCGGACAGGCGCACACTGAAGTGGTCAAAAAGCCCCAGAATCAAACCAGCTCTAGCCCGCCTTTGCTATCCTGGTTTTTCATTGGCTATCTATCCACCATCAAAACGTACCCCAACCAGAGCAGCCCGGCGGACATGAGGCGGCCCAAGCCCCTCGCCCCAGTGCTGATCTACCTGGCAGACCAACAGCACGGGACGTCCTTGTTCAACTGCACGTGCGCGCTTCGTCTGATGCGGAGGACAAGACCGGTAGCTCATCTCGACGGAGACGGTGGAGGATGAAGTCGCTCCGCGAGATCCTGCCCGCACCAGCGAGCCAAACCACGGCAAATTCCCCCGTCGACGAGTCGGAGCCGACCCCGACCCCGCAGGCGCGGTCATCATCCGTGGGGAGGAGACGGCCCCAGACCCGAGTGGCGTGCACGCCATGCCGACGAAAGAAGTCGAAATGCGACGGCCGACGTCCTGTGTGTTCGGCCTGCACCAACGCGGGCTCGCCGCAAGATTGCGAGTACGATGCAGATCCAGACATCTCTCGCGTAGCGGCTCTGCGGAAGAAGTCCGAGGACCTTCAACGCCGTGTCGCTCTTCTCGAGGAGCTCTTCCACTTACTGGCCCTGCGCCCCGAGCAAGACTCGATCGAAATCCTACGTCGTATGCGGACCACCAACTATCAGACGGATCTCGAGCATCTCGTCAAGTTCATCCGGGAGGGAGACTTGCTAGTACAAGCCGCGACGGCCGGGTCGAGTAGTCTTGCAAAGAAGCCGTTGTTCACCCCTCCCACGGAACTGGTGGGAACTGCGATGTACGACGAGATTGCCTCGCTCTTCGAAACACTGCAAGCCCCCCCCCCCTTTTCACCTTCTCCCCGGCGATAGGCGGCTGCCCCGCCGACCAGAGGTGGTTGTGACCGGCCAATTTCGACCACGTACTGACATGACGCGATCTTCAGTAACTCGGGTGTAGAGAGACTCGATCATGCCTCCAGAGCCGCTTTCTTAAACGCGCTGAGGCAACGGATTAGTGAACTGGCCACCCTTACGTCCGATACGGCAGATCTCGGACAGCTTCCGTGATGGGATCATTGTACCGCTCGAAACGGTCGACCGAGTTCGACCACATTCTCGCCCGACGAGGCTATCCAAGACATCGCCCACAGCCATCTTTCCACCAATTCTATACGAATCCAACCCCGCGGCTTTTCTACTCTTGACGACTTTATGACTAGATGGGGACGGCAATATTGAGTGCCTGGGCTTCATACGAACACAATGTTTATCTGATTAAGCGATTCGGGATTCTACCACGAAGGAAGTGTTTTTACCGCTTCTATACATCCTCGCCGTTTTTTTCACGCCATTGATCGATATGCGACAACGATGGTATGCCAGTAGAGTAACAGGAAAAGAGAAAAGGATAATGGAACTTTGGTTCGGCAAAAGGGAGAAGAGGGTATATGTACCTGAAGGTACGGTTATTGATGTTGGCGTTGGTTTATGGGTTTGGACTGCAAACCCGAAGGCAAAGGTACCAGGTGGTTTTTTGCTCGCACTACCTCCAATACGGAGAGGTGGCCGATTAAGTACCCGTTGTCTCCTTTACAGGAAGTGAAGCAACATGTTGTCTGGATAAGGTAGAATGGGGACCTAGGTACCTTGGGCAGGAACCCGGATGATGGCGAACAGAACATCACATGTTTCTTCATTCATCCCATGTCTTTGCATAAAAGAAGGGAGAGGTTGACTCGACTACGCCCAGATCTTTCAAGGCCTTCAATATTTACCACTTGACACCAGACTTCTTCTATTTTTTTCGTTTCTTGATGCTTGTCCTGTTATATATATACTTACTTCTCTGAAGATATGTCGGTGTTGGCTGCCAGCTAGATAGCCCGGAAGGGGTTTGATTAAGTTGCATGGATGGACGCGATCGACGTCGCTGCAATAGGTACCTGAACGACAGCGTGCTATGCATGGTAACTGGGATTTGTGTGGACATGGCGAATGTGGTGGAACTGGCGGACGTGGACACATGGCGGTGCTTCAGGATAGACCAAATATTATCCACACTTGCCTTCGGCTTGGATTTCGAGGACGGAATTGAGATTATGACGGCCGAGAGAGTGTGTTTTCCCTTGGCAGCATCCGGGTCTCCTCGATCCCCGGCACTTGGAGTAAGAAGTAAAGGGGGCGGCATGCGTTTGGGTGGTCTGGCTGGGAGCCCAGGGTCCTTGGAATTCTGTACATAATGCTCGGATGGCTTTGAGTGGCGGATTAGTCGCAGAATTTCTTGGTCTGCTTCTTGGTCTGCTTCTTTGGGCTCTGCTGGAGGACGAAGGGGGTGTGTAGAGAAGATGCAATGCAGGATGGATGCCTTGCATTAGTCGCAGGGACAAGACATGCAACATGCATACTAAAAGGGAGTCCAGAGTTGCAGGGTCTTCTCGGGGAAAAAAAGAAAGAAAAGAAGAAGACAAAAAGGAAAAGTGGACAAGAGGAGGAAATGGCGGTCCTGCGGACACCGGAGTAGGACTCCGGTGACTAAGCAATATGACCAGGCGATACGCAATTGCCCCGAGGGAAATGAAATACGAAAAATTACTTGGTAAGTTCCAACGATGGACCGACATCCCTTCTTATCCTCAATTTTCCCTTCCAAGACGGCGATTCGCGTCTCGGGACTTGTATTTCACTTGTAACCGTGTTCTGAGACAAGGGGCAGAGGAAGAGATGAACGCAGGTCACTTACCTGCCATAGGCTCTGTCTGACTTACAGGCTACGCTACAGGCTACGGGCTACGCTACGGGAGATTACTTAAAATGACGGGATTCAACTTGGCCCTTCTACATTGTAATTACTAAACAACGACAGACGTACTAATAAAATAACGTGCGCCCTGCCGCCTACTTCATTTCCGTTCCCCCACCTTTCCTCGGAGTGTTGCCGCCTCCGAGTGGACATGGTGAAAAAGACAGGTTTCGGTTTTCAAGCCCTCGATTCGAACTCCATTTCGGTGTCTTCTCTTACGTCTTCTCTTACGTTTCCCCGGGGTAAGATTCTCCGAGTCTCGTGGGTTTGTCAAATGAGGGAAGTGGATAGTCCGGGGGAAGGGTAGACGTAATAAGCGGGGAGGAAGGCGGCGATGTTCTTCTCTTCCTTGGCCGAGGAGGCAAAGGCAGAAATATGAGACAACCAGACAGCCAGACAGCCAGACCAGACACCAAGACATCCGAGGCCAGACAACGGACAACACACACACCAAACACCAGAGCAAGGAACCGTAAAAGAATGGGCCACCAGTCTTCTAGCCCGGAGACGGCAGACCCAGGCCGAAACGAGGGCGGTGCAGATACGGTGCCGATCCACAGATATGAGAGCGCCGCGGACGACGTTGTTTCCCTGGGCACCGTGAGCAAGGACCTACCTTCTCTGGCGCAGAGCACTAGACCCGCAGCAGTGACGGCCAGATCATCCTCCAAGGCGAAAACGAAAAGACGGTCGACGGACTCGAAGCAGGACACCGAAGGAGGCCCCGAGAATGAGGGGGACGACGAGGAGGAGGAGGGGCAGGAGGAGACGTACCCAGAGGGAGGACTGCAAGCGTGGCTCGTGGTGTTGGGGTCATGGCTCGCGCTGTTCTCGGCCATGGGTCTCATGAATAGCTTGGCCACCTTCCATGCTTACATCGGGGAGCACCAGCTACGAGAGTACAGCCATGGTGCCGTCGGGTGGATCTTCTCCGTCTACACGTTCTTGTGCTTTTTCGGCGGCATCTACATCGGTCCCGTCTTTGACAAGTATGGACCGCGGTGGCTCATTCTGTCGGGGTCGCTGTGTGTGGTTGCTTCTCTCATGCTATTGAGCATATCTACTGGTAATTTTTGCACCTTTTTTGGGGCGGGGTCTTCTTCTTTTCACACCCGACTGTCGCTGACGAAAAGATCCATGGCCCGCTTTCTACAGAATACTGGCACTTCATGCTCTCTTTCGGCCTCCTGAACGGGATTGGGGGCTCGCTCATATTCACCCCTTCCATCGCGGCGGTGGGCCACTTCTTCCGCGACCGGCGCGGGCTGGCCACAGGGGTAGCGACCACGGGAGGTTCGCTCGGCGGCATCATGTTCCCGCTGGCGATGCACGAGCTGTTCGGGCGCATCGGCTGGGCGTGGACGGTGCGGGTGGTGGGGTTCATCTGCGCCGGGTGCTTCGGCGTGGCCAACCTCCTGATCCGGTCCCGGCTGCCGCCGGCGCGGGACGCGACGGCCCACCCGGACGTGCGGATCCTGCGGGAGCCGGCGTTCGCGTTCACCACGGCGGGGGTGTTCCTCCTCGAGTTCGGGCTCTTCATCCCGCTGACCTACATCTCGAGCTTCATGGTGTCGGCCGGGTTCGACGCCGACATCTCGTACCGCATCCTGCCGATCCTCAACGCCGCCAGCGTCGTGGGCCGCGTCGTGGCCGGGTGGTGGGGGGACCTGTTCGGGGCGTACAACAGCAACATCCTGTCGGTGGCGCTGACCATCGTGGCGTGCCTGGCGGTGTGGCTGCCGTTCGGCGAGAGCTCGCTCGCGGCCATGGTCATCTTCGCCGTCATGTTCGGGTTCGCGAGCGGCAACAACATCAGCATCAGCCCCGTGTGCATCGGGCGGCTCTGCAAGACGCAGAACTACGGCCGCTACTACGCCACCACCTACACTGTGGTGTCGGTCGCGTGCTTGGTGGGCATCCCCATCGGCGGAGAGATCATCTCGGCTACCGGCGGGAAGTACTGGGGGGTGATCATCTTTACCGGAGCGATGTACGCGGGATCGCTTGCGGCTCTTTGGGCGGCCAAGGTGGTTTGCGTTGGGTGGAGAATCCTGGCCATATTCTGAGGGGGTTGGCGTGCGTCGGTCTTGTTTCTACTCTGCGTCTGCTGTCTACATGAGAACTGGTGGGCCTGTGGGCCTCTGCAGCCTAGACGGCTTGGGAAGAAGAGAGGGAAGAGGTGGCAGCTCATATAGCGGAATGAGTTGGGTGAAAGTCCAGGAATGAAAATGAAATGAAAATGAAAATATTTATGAGAGCAACTCATCAAGGGGGGGCCGCTGAGCTGTCATACAGCAACGATTAGAAGTTGAGACTATACAAGAGGCAAGTAAAAGTTAAGCTAGGCACATCGAATTAGAACCAATAATAAGTAAGGTACCTTATTATTAAGGTACCTGAACTTACAGCAATAACACTCTGATAAGATCAGTCCAATGTCCTATCCGTATTGACGACGGTTATGGCAAGTACCTTAATTACGAAGTACCGGTGCGACTGAACTGAACGGGAAGGAAGAAACCCGGAACGTGCCCAAATGTCCGCCGAAGAATCTGTCCCGGACTCGGGGTCACGGGGTGGGGAACTCCCTCGGTGGAGCGACCTCATAGAAGAGACTTGTTGGACTTTGTCGACCGTGAGCGGAGGGGAACTTGACTTTTTAAACTTTCTTCTCCTTTTTTCTTCCCTCCTTCCCCCTTTCTCCTCAAACTTTACTCTACCCCTCTACCAAAACGTACCTACCTTGTATAGACCGTGTACTGTACTGTCCTCGCTACCTTACCTGACCACACACGGAGCCATTCGGAGCCATTCGGAGCTACCTTGTTCTTTCATTATCGCTTCCCTACCTAGGTACCTAGGTAGGTACCTTACATTAGGTACTGCCGCTTATGATTATTGCCTCACTTGTTACCCGACACCTCTGCCCACTCATATTTCTTCCAACTCCAAACCAAGGGATCCAATTGTTGAAACTACCTACCACCCGTCTGGTAACTTCCCATTGAAGGTAATTTATTTGTCCTGCCCCCGCCCCCTCTTCTATACGCCCGTGTCGGTACCACCTCCTCGGAATCAACTAGGGCGTATCTCCCGGGCCACGTTACCGGCCGAGCCGAGGATATCGGCGGCGCCCGGTCACCCCCCTATTCCGAGTTCCGAGCTCCGCGAACATTGAGCAGTGACGCCCAAGTCAATAACACTTGTCCGCGGGGTTCGGAGGAAACCCGGTGCCGCTTTTTGTCTTTCTTTTATGTCCGTAAAGTTATCCCCGCCTTTGCGCCTCATCGTATACACAAATTTACTTTCCTCTCATGTGCGCAACCCTGCTACAGCGTCTCACTATATGGAGGATCTTCACCCCTATCTGGGCCTGGTCTTCGTCTTCCTCACGACTTCTTCTACATAAACCCCCCATATCTGCACTGCGGTAACATCAATCACTTATACTGACATGATGGCTCAGGCACTCAACAATACCCGGAACAGGACTCTTCTCACACCACCATGTCTTCTTCCATAAATACCGACGTGGAGGACCACTACTTCTCCTCTAACCCACCCCCCAAAGCTCTGGCCCACCATGAGGCTCAAGCCCGCGACTTCATCAGCCAGCATGCCGCCGCCAAGCGCCGCGTCGTCCTTATCACCTCGGGTGGAACAACTGTTCCCCTTGAACGCAACACGGTTCGCTTCATCGACAACTTCAGCGCCGGCACCCGAGGAGCCACCTCGGCCGAGTACTTCCTCGAGTCGGGCTATGCCGTCATTTTCCTCCACCGTCAGTTCAGCTTGCAGCCCTACTCGCGCCACTACTCCCACGCGACCGGCTGCTTCCTCGACTTCCTGCAGGAAGACGCCTCCGGCACCGGTGTCGTGGCCGCCGACGACCACCGCGACGAACTGCTTGCCGTCCTGCGCAAGTACCGCGCCGCCCGCACGCGCAACACGCTCCTCGCCATCCCCTTCGTCACCATAACCGACTACCTCCACGAGCTCCGCGCCATCGCCCGCCTCATGCGGCCCCTCGGCCCCCGCGGCCTCCTCTACCTCGCCGCCGCCGTATCGGACTTTTTCGTGCCGCCGGACCGCATGCCGGAGCACAAGATCCAGAGCACCGACGCGACCGACTTTCTGCACGAGCAGGAGCCGGAGCCGGAGCCGGAGCCGGAGCAGCAGCAGCAGCAGGAGGAGGAGGAGGAGACGTTCGACAACTTCGACTCCTCCCCCGCCGTCCCCCGCTCCAAGCGCCTCGTCGTCGACCTCGACCCCGTGCCCAAGTTCCTCAAGAACCTCGTCGACGGCTGGGCCCCGAACCAGTTCATCGTCAGCTTCAAGCTCGAAACCGACCCGGGCATCCTCGTCCACAAGGCCCGCTACAGCCTCGAGCGGTACCAGCACCACCTCGTCGTCGGGAACCTGCTGACCACCCGCAAGTGGGAGGTGGTCTTCGTCAGCCCCCGCCGGCCCGACCGCTGGCTCCGCGTCCCCAGCCCGGCGTGGGAGGGCAAAGAGGGAGAAGTCAAGGTCGAGGGTGATGGCGGTTCAGCGGTAGCTGTGGCGCACAAGCCGTTGGATGCGAAGGACCTGCCGGACGGGGAACCCGAGGTGGAGATTGAGAGCTTGATTATCCCGGCTATAGAACAGTTGCACGATGAGCATATCAAGTCGCTGCTGGCGCGCATGGACGGTGCGCGGCCATGAACGGTGGAGGTGGAGGATGCTGCCGGGTGTGTACATCATCTCTTCTATAAAAAAAAAGAACAAAAAAGAAACCAGCATGTCATATATTCAATGTGGCCAGTCGACTCTTTTAACACATGATCATTTCGCCAAACAAAAGTTCGTAGCCTTCTTCAACAACCCGCTCGCCCTTCAATGCTGTATTTAGCCAGAGCCCAACCCCCAACCAACATCCCCCCTTCTCTTTTGTTCTTCTTCGGCGGGATAGACTTGTATATAATACAGAGGACAACCCACCCCGCGCCCCCCGTTCTCCCCCCCCCACACGCCATGTACACGTTTATACTTATTTATTGTTTTGTCGGAGTTAGCCTCCACGCCCTCATCGGCAACGACTGCAGGTGCAGCACCCTGGGCCGAATAAAGGAGACAAAAGTCACCAGGCCGAGGATCACGCAGAGGATGTTGACGATGTAGTAGCCATCGTGGACCGTCTCGCAGGTGCCGCCGCCCTGGAGACACCGCGCCTTGTCGGCCTGCAGGGAGCACGAGAAGGGCGCGAGGACGTCGGCCGTGGCGCTGGGGCGGCAGGTGGCGACGGTGAAATAGTCGACGAGGCGGAGGACGAAGAAGCGGGGGAAGGTGCCGCCCAGGTTGCACACGGTGGCCAGGAGGGTCATGTAGGTGCCGCCGATGGCCGGGTCGGAGACGCGGGCGTGGAAGGCGGAGACGGCGACGAACATGACGGTGTTGGTGAAGGTGGAGAAGACGTGCTCGGCGATGACGACGAGCATGTACCAGGTGGTGACGCCGCCGGCGGGGAAGAGGGCGACGGTGCACTGGGCGGCGACGGCGGCGGCGAGGCGGGCGACGAAGGCCCAGCACCAGAGGCGCATCGGGGTGTACTCCTGGGACCACTTGCCGGCGTAGTAGCCCAGGATGATCTCGAAGGGGAAGTCGATGAGGACGGTGAGGGCCATGTTCTCCTGGCCGAAGCCCCTGTCGATGAGCTTGAGGTTGGTGACGGCGTCGTTGGCCTGGAAGCCGATCTTGGCGACGAGGTGGACGGCGATGATGGTCTGGATGTTCTTCAGCTTGAGGACGCCCCACATGATCTTGTAGACGTCCCAGATGCCGTCCTCGTTGCGCGTCCTCTCCTCGCGCTTGAAGAGGGCCAGGCCGACGGTGATGACGAGGTAGGCCCAGCCCCAGAAGGTGAGGTAGGGGCCGAGCGACAGGAGACCGCGGTCGAGCGGGACGGCGCGGAAGTAGCGGTTGGCAAAGTGCTTCGAGTTGAAGGCCAGGAAGACGGTGTAGGACAGGAAGTGGCCGGCGGTCAGGCCGACGGTCTGGGCGGTCGAGGCGTACGAGACGTTCCCCGGGGTCAGGAGGGTAAGGGCCCAGCCGTCGACGGCGATGTCCTGGGTGGCGCACATGAGGACCAGGAAGAACCACCAGCCGGTGAAGCCCCAGATGGTGGGACCGCCGTCCTTGCCGGCGGTGGCCATCATTGGTTCGACGACGGAGCCCAGCCAGAGCATGCCGATGCCGGAGAGCATCTGGATGGGCAGGATCCAGCTCTTCCTGCGGCCGAACTTGGGGCTCCAGACGGCGTCGACGATGGGGCTCCAGAAGAGCTTGAGAGAATAGGGGTAGGAGGCCAGGCTGAAGATGCCGATCTCGCTGTACGACATGTGATCCTTCATGAGGAAGGGCACAGAGCCGCCGGCCAGGCCCATGGGGATGCCCTGAAGGAAGTAGAGGAGGACGAGGAGCATGAAGTTCCTCTGGTCCTGGAGGGGCAGCTCGAAGAAGCCATGGTTATTTATGGCGGGGGTCTTGGCGATGTGGTCGTCTAGGGAGAAATTCTCGCGCAGCATGAGGTTTTCGGTAACCGATTCGGAGGTGGGAGTGGCGGCCTTGCGGCGGTACTCGACGCTGTTTTGGTTCATGGCGGCGCCGGTGGTGGCACCGTTTGGCCTGTCCGTATCTGTGTCTGTAGCTGGGAAGACTTCGGACAGCGGCCGTTTATTTTTCGGAGATTTAGATTTATTTCGGCGTGTTCTGCTCATCGGAAAAGAGATGGCGGGAGGAAAGCGGACTCGGGAAGGCGAGAGGGGCCGGTGATGGTCTCGTTCAAGGAGAGTGGTGTGTGGTGTGGTAGCACGAGCCTGCAAGGGGCAAGTGGAACGAACGTAGAGAGAGAGAGTGTGTGTGTGTGTGTGAGTGTGTACTGATGACGGAGGGTGTCGCAGAACGGGTCGCAAGGTCAGCAGCGAGTGCGCAATGGGGTGTAACGAGAGACCGAAAGATCAACGGCAAGAGTCTTATTGAGGTACGAGGGGTGTTCTTCGAAGGTGAACAGTCCGAGGCAGATCTGTGTAGGCGTATTCAGTTGGAGCTTGGTGGACGAGTCGATGTCTGGGTGCTCGAACGAGGCGTAGGATCGGATCGGCACAGCAAAGAAGATAATGGCTTGATGCTTGATAACGCTCGCTTGCCGTGTACTCCGTAGTGGTGGGGACAGGCGTTGAGCCACAAGGCGGCAACCGTGGCCTTTGGGAGTCAAGCGGGTGGCAATCTTTCAAGCTCGCCCCGGCTCTTTTTTTCTTTTTTCTTTCTTTTTTTTCTTTTTTCTTTTTTTCTTCTATTTTGCGAGGAAAAGGAGTGATAGAAATCCCGGACAAGAGCAAGTAAAAGCTAAAGAAGGGTTGTGAAGAGAAGAATTAGAGAGGGTAACGAGGATCCATGGCGGCCTATACCTGGATAAAACATGTACACTGTTAAAGACCCTGAAAGCCGAGATATGGTAGATGGAAAAGTGAAAGCTGGCCAAAGGCCCAGGAAAAGTCGAGTCGCTGCCTGTAATCCCGTCGTCGGAATAGGTTAGAGACAACAAGGTACGTACCCGGTACGTTGCTACCTTGTTGTGTGGCTCCACAAGTGCCACATATGCGGGGAATTGTTATGTGGACCCCTGGCCTGACAACCCTGGCAATCCGATCGCTTGGACCTCCGTGCTTATCGATAAACAGATAAGATATGACCATTTGGCGATCAAAAGCGATGAACTGGTCGCGTCACGCCGCGTCGTGTCGTCCCCTCCGTCTCTCCCCATATCCCCCCTCTTCTCTCCGCCCTTCTACTTCTTCCACGTCGTCCCAAAATCCCAGAGACCCCTCAACCAACTGATATTCTGGCAACAAATTTACCTTCCATGAATCCGCGTCATTTTATTCATCGCTCATCATGACCTCTGAAGCTGAACCCAACGAGATTGGTCAGGAGCTAGACTATGAGATTGAGGACCTTCAAAGCCAAAGTACGCCGCTTTGTATTCTGTTCTGTTCTGTTTGCTTGTTTGCTTGTTTGTTATACTTGTTATACTTGTTATACTTGTTATACTTGTTATATTGTCCAACTGCAAAAGTGAGCCGCGCTTACCGATATGATCTCCTCTAGTTGCTACTTTGAAAAGACATCTCAAGATCCATGCCACTACCATTCTGTCCGCCGACTCGACCCGCCAACTCCTCCTCCGCCACCGCGAAACCCTAGAAGAAGACTCCCTTTTCGTCTCAAGCGAGACAAGTTCCGCTGTGCACGATAAAGTCCTCTCTCGAATCGATGCCCAGCATGCCCACGACCAGCAGTGTCTGTATCGGACCGGGGCCGCCGTCACCACCTTCAAGGTCCGCGACCCGGACCCCAACGCCGTCGACAACGGGAGTGTCCTCGGCCTCCGCTTCGAGGTCATGTCCAAGACCCGCTTCCTCCGTCCTTACTACGTCATGCTGAACCGCCCGTATCCCGAGTCGCGCCATCTCCGCGTCCACAGGCACACCGTCCCTCCCTGCATCCCCTTGCCCGGGCTCGCGGCCAGGTACCTGCCTGCGCCTTCACCCCCGGATGCGACCCATCAGGCGAAACAGGACCTTTTGCGCTTTGTGCGCCATGTAAGGAGGGAAATTGTACGCTATCACAACCGCGCTGCCGTGATCGGTGACCTTGCCGAGGCCGCTGCGGCGGCGGCGGCACGAGGCGCGGCCGGTGGAGATGAGGAGAGGGGACGAGAACGGAGGGAGGGAGACGAAGAAGAAGGAGACGAAGAAGGAGAAGGAGAAGGAGAAGAAGCTGGCGCTGGCACTCTCGTCGATGTACGGGCTGCCGATCCCCAGGCGAAACAGGTCTCCCTCGCCTGGGCAGATGGCCGGACCGGCCGCCTGGTCATGGACGACGATGGTGGGGTCGATAAGGTGGTGGTCTTCCGTTACGACGAGCAAGATGGTGAGACGAGGAGGGAGCTGGTAACTGGCGAGGACCGCCGGCTCGAAGATGTGGTCCGGCGGGTTGGTTGGAGCACGAAGACGAGGACGAGGACGACATCCCGTCAGTCTCGAGCTGCGTCGTGAATCTTCTGCTGGTTGTGTCATATGCCAGACACCGACAGACAGCATGGAAGCCCAGGACACTACAATACAGCCCTAACAGGAAGACAAGATTTCATTCGCCCATACCTCGAAACGAAGACGAGGCGCATCACCGGCTTCGTCACGATGAGTATTGCACCACCATCCATGCAGTCAACCGGACACGAGAAAAAAAAAGAAAAAAAGAAAAAAAAAGGCACGAGCCAACGGTCATACAAGAGGGTTATTTGAGCCCCTCATTATTCTATCCTATTCCGGACTACATTATACATCTGGACCAATCGATCGTGACAGGCTTGAAGCGTCACTTGGAACTTGAAACCACCAGTCTCATATGTTGAGACGGTTCTCCGTTGCCCAGGCAAATGCACACCTGATGCATATAACCAACCCCCATGAAAAGAAGAGAAACCCAAACCCCAAGAAGGGGTCCATTATACCCCGAGGACAGGTTAGCCGAAGTAGGCATGGTTTGTCAGCCCAATCTAGATGAGCATAGCGGCAACGGCAGCGGCGACAACGGCACCGCCCGCACGCTGGGCGTTCTGGCCGGCACCGGCAGTGGGGACGGGAATGAAGCTGGTCGTCTCCTCGGAGGGGGGAGCCGGGATAGTGACGGTGCCGATGGAGGTGGGTACGGGAGGAGGGACGGGAAGAGGGGCCTCGGTGGGCTCGTAGACGGGCTCCGACTCGACGGGAGGCTCCGGCTCGGGCTCCTCGGGAGGGGGCTGGACGGGCTCGGTCTCTTCAGGAGGAGGGGGAGCCTCGGAGACGGGGGGCTCCGGCTCGGGCTCCTCGGGAGGGGGATGGACGGGCTCGGTCTCTTCGGGAGGAGGGGGAACCTCGGAGACGGGGGGCTCCGGCTCAGGCTCGTAGGTGGGCTCGGGCGCAGGCTCGGGCTCCTCGGACGGGTAGACGGGAACTTCCGAGGGGTAGACGGGAGGCTCGGGCTCAGGCTCGGGCTCCCCAGTCGGCTCGGGCTCAGGCTCGGGCTCCCCAGTCGGCTCGGGCTCGGGCTGGGGCTCCGGAGTGATGGGCACGGGGCAGATGGTGACAGTCTCGGGGATGGTCACGGTGGTGTAGTGGGTCTTGCCGCCGCCGTGGCAGGGCTCCTCCGGATCACAGTCGACGACGGTCTCGGTGGCCGTCTCGGTGATGGTGCTGGTGGTCCACTGGTGGTCCTCGGCGTGGTGCTCGGTGCCCGGGTGCACCCAGTGCCAGTCGTCGGCCTCCTGGTTGTCGCAGTCGTCAATGACGACGTCGTGGTGGGGAGGGTGGAAGACGTGAAGGTCACCGGCCTCGGGGGCGGCGGTGGGGGAGACGTCAGTGAGGGCGTCAATGCCGTTGGGGTACTCCCAATCTCCCAGGAGATCCCTCAGGCTGCGCTCGTCATTGACCCTCTCGGCTTGGGAGTAGGCGGCAAAGCCGGCGACGGCGATGGTGCTGAAACGCATGGTGATAGCGGGTGTGGTAT